AAAAAGATTTTATTTTTTATTGTAATTTTATGTGTATGTGTGTATTGCCTGCATGCAGATAAGTGCACCTGTGTTGTGCTATGCCTGTGGACGTCAGAAGAGGCTGTCGGAGCCCCTGGGACTGGAGTTACCGATAGTTGTTAGCTACCATGTGGGTGCTGGGATTCAAACCCGGGTCTTCTGCAACAACCAGTGTTCTTAACCGCTGAGCCATCTCTCTAGCCCCATATCAGACTTCTCCTTCCTCTGCATATGCTTTTTGATTATGAAACAATGATAAAAGCAAAAGAACTTTCAGTAACTGCTCACTTTGTCCAAGAGGAATACTGGGAGACTAGATGTCCCTCATTTAGTTCCGATCAGGAGGTGCTCTTTAAAGGCAAAGGTCTCAGTGGCCAGCAGCAGCTACCCACTCTGCCCCCATGTTCCTGAGGCTGCATCCATTTTCTCCAACCTCTGCAAAAATCTGAACAGCTTCAAAAACGCATTAGGAAGCCAGTCGTGGTGGCACATGCCTTTAATCCCAGCACTCAGGAGGCAGAGGCAGGCAGATCTCTGTGAGATCATGGCCAGCCTGGTCTACATAGTGAGTTCCAGGTCAACTGGGGCTACAGGGAGACCCTGTCTCAAAGACCAAAAAAAAAAAAAAAGCATTAGGGAAAAAAATGCATCAAAAGCTATCCAGTGCTAAAGCCTTCCCACACACTCTGGAAAGCCTCCATATTGAGAGCATCTACTCCATGAGGTATGAGCATGATCCCTTCAGTGAGCCCAGTCTCCCATGAAGCTTCACCTCAACTAGCACCCGCAATGGTGCTGCCTCAGTGAAGGACGACAGGACTGGCCTTGCACAGAAGGCCGAGGCTGACACAACTTGAAGTGAAAAGCAATGGATGCTGCATTCTAAACAAAAAGCTGTAAGAGGCAGAAAGGAGGGGATGAAGGAGCCACATACCAAGACCAGGGCGCAGAGGACAGTTCTGAAGAGCATGTGATATGCTGCCATTCAGGAGAGGAGGCTCTGAGCTGGCAGGGGTGGTGGTGCTGGGGTCCGAAGCAGGCAGACTACAAAAGTATGCTGCGGTGGAAAGGCACCTGACAGTTACTTCAAAGGGCATGGTGAGAGCTGGGGGGGGGGCTTCTTGGAGTGTACCTAAGTGCTTATTAACTCTCCTGACCCATACAGACACACTTAAGGAACTGGTGCTTCTACTAAGACCTTGTACCTTCACAAAGTCTCTATAAAATTTTCTAAGACAAATTACTAGACTATTACAACTAGAGCTAGGGGTGTACCTCAGTTGGTAGAATGATCACCAGGATGCAAAGCCCAGGTTCCATCCCTAGCATCACACAAAACCAGGTGTGGTGGCACATACCTGTAACCCTAGCACTTGGGAGGTAGAGGCATGTGGATCAGAAGTTGTTCAAAGTCATTCTTGGCTATGTATTCCGTTGGAGGCAAGCCTGGACTACATGAGGCCCTGTCTTAATAAAATAAATATTCCTTTTTTTGAAACAGTCTCAATGTATAGTTAAGGCTAGCCTCAAATTGGAAATCCTTTATCTCCATAGTACTGGGATTCGAGGTGTGCGCCACCACACCCACTGTACGGTTTTCATGAAGACGCAACAAATAGCAGTTTATATCCGAAAAATATGCAAAAGAAATCAAAGGGTCAAAGAAAACCATCTAAAGAGCATCTTTCCCTGAAACACACAATTCAAACTGGCTTCCTGGATTCATAAGATTTCTGGAGTGGCAAATTCATTTCATGCTGGGGCACCGTGTCAGTCAAGATGGCATGCGTTCTACAGAGCTGTACTGTCCAGGGACAGGCCTTTCTTTATGTCAACCATCCATTCTACATGGAAACCATACACGGAGGCACCAGGTGACAGGCCCACTCATTGCTTCCCCTACTCCAGTATGCAGTTTTAAGTCAGCCTAAATGACTACACATGTAACTCAAGATGCATTCCTTTAGAGCAAACTTTCACTGTCTGTGAAGGGAAATCCAGACTTGCACATGTCCCCAGCCCGCATCCACATCACAGCTGGAAACAGGGACGACAGGAAGGCACCTGCAGCTCTCCAGGGCCCATTACAAGGCCCTGGAGATAATATAAAGAAACCCACAATGAAATACAGCCACTGTTCCAAACGTGTTCTTTTTTTTATTTTAAATTCGTTGAAAGAAATAAAATATTTTTTAAAAATAGAGTAATCTCACAAACTGAAAGTCAGGAACAAAGAGAACAAGTTAGCACTTTTTCCTGAGGCATCGAATTAGCTGTAGAATGGAATCTTTCCTAGCTTGTCAAACAAAAACTTTTCTATTTCTAAGGCATCAAACGCACTCTAAGTGCTGAATGAGTTGTTCAGGTAGAGTCAGCCCTCTAGTGGGGTTAAGAAACAGCGAGTCTCCTTCCTTACAAACTACATATTGCTACTTCTTAAAATTGAAAACTGCATAAAATGAATGTAATCGAGACCTGAACTTCACAAATCTGGTTATATTCGTAAAATCTTACTACTCCTTGTTAAGAATTCCAGTTTCTGTGAAAAGGGGCCAGGCACAGAAAGGGCTGCTCTGATCTCAAACATCCGCAGCCAAAACTAGTCAGAAAGCTCCCATCCCAGGAGACTCTGCTGCAGCTGGAGACCCCACTGCAACTTAACCCCTAAACCACCAGACTGTCCACAAAACTTACACAAGCCATTTACAATTCCCAAAGCTCTAAACTTACTCCCCACACGTAGTTCCCCTCAGTTCTATACTGATTAATCTATCAAACTAAAAACTTTTTTTGGGTAAGATAAAATGGTTTACATTTTGTTCTATCAGAACTGTTTGCTGGTGCTAACAATTTGATTTACAAACACTAACAGGAAAGTATGAGCTGATTTTTATGTTTTGATTTGAAATATTGAGTGCTGACTTTCCTCCAGCTTTTAAGATAGAGCTAAGTCATATCACTGGTGACTAAAAATTCTGAGAACACCCACTTAGAAAAGCTATTTTTTGGTAAAAAGAAATTCAAATGTCTGAAACACCTGTGACAGGTATTTAAAGGTTCAGTGCAACCTAACTACATCTCCAATTAAGTTTCTATAATATCAACCAGCTGGTAGATTAGGGTTGTGTGCATGTATCCTTGTTATCTAAAGCATCTATCGATTTTACAGTGTAGAGGGCTAGTCCGCCAGAAGCAAACTGGTACTGAGCCCTAACTTTTAAAAGCCTCCAGTCTGTTTCTTGGTTCCTTAGAACAGTGTCTCATGCAACACCAGGCTCTTGTGCCCTAAATGGCTTTGCTGAGTTGCTGAGCACTAGTATCTTTGCCCAGAAGAGAGAAGTCCACATTCTTCCCACACACCCAGGGAGCAAGCTCAGTTACATTTGGGTTACATTAACCCAAGTCTGAGCAGACAGCAACAAAGGGGCCAGAAATTACCATGTTCAAATGAGGTACCTGGGAACACAAACTTTAATCACGTACAGCTCCTGTGTAGTCACCATTACCATCTCAGAAACCAACGAATTTGAGCTAGAATTGTGCAAAAACAAAAAGCTAACAAAGACAATCTACAGACTACCAACAGTGATATAAAGGCAGACTAAAGGGCCTATGTAGTGACTGCCAGTTTAGTCTCAAAAAGAAAGTCAATATCCTGAGTTTATCAGCATTTTCTTTCTAAAATAATTTATACAGAACATAAAAGCATACAAACGTATAAACAGAAGCAGTGATACATAAAGTCTGGAAGAACATCTTACTAACTAAAAAAAAAAAAAGATTTCAATGAAATAAATTAAAACCTCATACTTTCAAGTTTTCCTAGACTATTCTTTTAGCAGATGGCATGGAGTTAATATATTTCTAATAATCATTTGGTTGAGATCAAATACCAAAATGTGCCTTCACACACACAAACTTTGCCTTTAAAACCCATGGCTCCACTGGCAGTTATTCTGAATACAGAAGAAACCAAATGAATTAGTCTCCCAAATTCTAATCAGTAGCTTGTATCATCAAACCATTAAGACATTTTATTTACTAATTTGGCTATCAAAATAGTATCTCCCCAAAACAAATGCTTACTTTACTAGCATCTAAGGAAACTACAAAGTTGGTACACAGCGAGATACTGTTTTTAGGACACAACATAATGCTAATCCAAAAAGCCAAAGGATCCCAAAAGCACCTCTATGCCTTTTAAAACAAAACAAAACAAAACCTCTCTTTGCTTCCTAAATGCAATTTCTATTTTTAACTAGTTAGCCTGCATACTACCTCTGAGATGTGAATGTGGTTCTTTACCTGACATCAGTATTCAAAATGTTGCTGGGAAAAATACTAATTGTGGCTAACACAAGTTTATGCTATCTATACAACAGTGCCAAATTATGACTGGTTTCTGTAGTCCTAAAGTTTATACCACACAATTTAGAAGAAAAATCACAAATGGATGAACATAGATAGAATTCAGTTTGTCTTTTAGAATTCAGTTTTCTTAATCCAATTAGTTACCTCATTAAAACCCAGAACCTTCTATGACCTGCCAGTTTAATTCCTTCCGTCAACCTAAAAAAGAAACATTTCTGGGGAAGCCGGGATTTATTAAGAATATCAAGGTCCAGGAATTTTCACCATATACCTTACATTTTTTTTAATCACTACAAAAATCTGTTAGCATTTCAGACCAGATAGTTAAATTACATGGCTAATCAACTCTTCAGTGCTGATCCTAGAAAATAGCCTCCAATGGATCTTTGAGTAGTGGAACAAAAAACGTTCGGCCACTGATCCGAGTGGTGTCAGGTGGTCACACCTTTAACATTCAGGCCACAGGCTGTAAGTCTGGAAGGGCTGGGGTCTACTGTCCCGTGTTATCAGAATTTGTGGTCATGTTTTCAGTGCTAATGGGCTGCACGTTGTCTGCAAGGTTGTGTGCGTGCTCAAGAAACAAATCTTTGAGTACACTTAACTCCTTGGTCAGCAGCTTAATTTTTGCCTCCAAGCGCTCGTTCTCTTCTTTGAGCTGGTTCACTCTTTGCAGTGTATCTTGGGCTTTCTGCTTGCTTTTTAACCGGCTCTTCTTCACAGCCATGTTGTTCCTCTCTCTACGCTGGCGATATTCATCACTGTTTCGATCCATGGGTGAGCTCTTTTTGCTTTGCTTGCTTGGAGGCACAGCTTTGCCTCCGCCCCCAGCGCCGGCGGGCACCAGCTGGGGAACCTGCTGCAAGCCGCTGGCATGTGCCTGAGTATGAATAACACTTATCCCGTTCACTCCTGGCGTGCTGGCTGGCTGCGCTATCTTGCTCATTTGGCCACTTTCCTTTGCCAACACAGAACAGGTAGAATTCAGAGCGATGTGATCAACAGACTCCACGCTAAAATGCCAAAAACTCTTCACATGTACCTAGTTGGAAAATAAATTGTATTAAAATATTTGAAATGACAGGATCAAATAAGACTGAACTGGCATACATCTAACACAGCAGGCAACCATTAACTGATTATCCTGACACAAGTCTACAACTGTCAACTGTTCCAATGTTTCCTAAGTCGGAAGCATCGAATTTAGAAAGGTAAGCTGATTCAGAAGCACCGTAAGGCTGAGACTGAGCCCACCTGATTCCCTGAGGGTACTGGCGCCTGTGATTATCCAAAGGGGGAAGAAAACCTAAAGCATATCACTAATTAGGCTGCACACGTGAACTGACAGCACTTGACAATCTGCCAGGGAGAAACTGGAGATGTTTGGGCTCATCATGGAAAAGCTGAGTTTAATTACTGTAGAAAGGACACCAACGAAAGGGGGACGTTTCAACTGCTGAGTCAAACTAGAATGCTGGGGTGGGACACTCAGCCCGTAAAACTACCCAAGAGTATGAGGCAGTGATGTCTGCAAGTTCCAAATTCTAATATTCATGCAGTGAGTTAGCAAGGGCTTGGCTTATTATGGTTATTTTTTTTAAAGATGGGGATTGTTTTTGTCTTTTTTCATTTTAGCAACCTTAAAGAGTTTCCTGAAATTTACTCAACTGGTTTCTTATATTTAGGAACTTTGAGACATCCAATACGGTTGCCCCCATTCTAGCACGCTTTTCAGTGTTTTTCCTTGATTCAATTAATAAAACATCTGGACATACTCAACCTGAACCACAAACAAACAAAACTAATGCTATATTCACGGAAGTCAAGTACTGAGACTCAGGCTCTTAGACAAAGGGGTGATGCAGCTCAGCACTGGCATCCCCTTCTCCCTCAGAGCTGGGAGTCTGAAGCACTCCTGGGTGCTGCCAAGGGTGAGGGGATTACTGTGAGTATAACTAACCCCTAGAGGCACCTGGGAAGTGAGGTGTGACAGTACACCTACCCCATCCTCACCGGACAGATCACAGCAAACTCAACAGCTAGATGAACCATGTTCACCCAGAAGACAACACCCTTAGAAATTAGAAAGCGCTGTTAGAGCCATGAAAATACCCATTTCTCTCTTCTCAGAACTGCTAAAACAACATCAATGGACAGAGTCGAGTTAAGAGTTATGAAAACACCCCAAATGAGCACACCCCACAGTTAAGGAAAGTTAAGTTAGTAAACACCAACAGCTTTGCCCAAACCTTTAGCCAGGCATTCTTCAAAAAGGCTTATTAGTCTGCTTTTTCTTCTTCTTTGCATTTAAAAGTCCATATATCATTACTTTGAATTGTTGTAAAAGCCGGTCAGCCAGCCCTGAGCTAGTGGGTCATCTGTTCTCTCTCCAGCTCTAAAGCAAGACAGGAAGCTTCCTTCCAAACCATGATGGATACGGACTCTGAGTCTGCTCAATAATGGACATTTCACAATTTCCCTTCAAAATCATTATGTGGCCTAATTTTTCTCCCACTTAAAGTTGGTTGTTCAAAATAAAGCAAAGTAAATTAATTAAAAATACAAAGTGGCTAGTCAATATTAGTTTAAGCCCCCTGCTGCCATCTAACTCAAGTGCTTATCTAGTTGGTATAAAGTGAATACAAGTGTTTAACTCTTATTTGTAAGGGCTGTTTAATGTAACACCCCTCCTGGGATTGTCTCAACAATCATATTTATCTCAGTTATCTACTTTATTTTTTATATTCCAATTATTATTCTTCAAAGCCAATCTCTACAGTCAGTTTAGCCAGGCTCAAAGATAGCAACCAACCAAAGAAGTACAAACTGGTACCAGGTCAGCTCTTCTCCCGGCTCTGGCCCCCTCAGTCTCACCCTGGACACATGGACACATCCCTTCCCTCCTGTGCACTTCAGTTTCCCCATCCACATATGAAATGTGGAAATGCTAAGATGTCTTCTGAGTGACAAAATACCATGAACTCTGGTCACCAGCAACTCATTCACAAGAGGCTCCAAATTCACTGATGTTCTGCCTTGTTTCTGAACCAAAAAGATACAGGAATGGGGAAGGGCTCTCTCACCTCAATCTGACTCATCTTGCCAATGTACTAATATGAACAAAGAAGGAGAAGTTTTGAGCTAGCCCTTTGGCTAGAACAACAAGAACAACATCACTGAACCTACAAACTGGCAAGAAAAGAGGTGGAACGATGCGGGGTTAACTCATGAATGTTCAACAACGAAAAAAGAGGCCAGAAGTGGTAGTACACACCCTTGATCCCCAGCAGAGGCAGGCAGAACTCTTGAGCAAGCTCAGTCTGGTCCACATAGTGAGTTCCAAGCCAGCTAGGGCTATACAGAGACCCTGTCTCAGAAAAACAAAACTTCGCCAGTAGACAAGCCAATAAAGTAGCTCTTAACAGTTATCATAGAGCTAATTTATTTAAAAGATTTTTACTGCATGAGTGTTTAGCCTGCATATATTGGAGGGAGGGGGTGTGCAACACATGCATGCCTCATGCCTACAGAGTCCGGAAGAGGATGTCAGCCACCAAGTGGGTGGTGGGAACTGAACCCAGGTCCTGTGCAAGAGCCTCCAATGCTCTTAACCATCTCTCCAGCCCTCAAAAAGCTAATTTAACAGACTTCTAACAGCTCAATTTTGTTTCTGCACTATACAAAGACACTTGCCATTCACCCTTTTGTTCCTTCCATAGACATTTACTGAGCTACACCAGACCAAAAAGAAAAAAACAACATTTTTAAAATCTGGATACTTAACCCTAAATGAAAGTCTAGCTCCTGGATGGACTAAATGTATTCCAAAGTTCAGGCTGCAGGAAGCAGGGTGGTGCCCTGTTTCCCTGCATGTGAATCACTCAAGGAAATAACAGGAAGGCCAAGAGCAGTGGGTCTCCAAGTGGTCCTGGGACCAGCATCACCCTTTAGGAACTTTCATGAGGGTAAATTCTCAGATTGCCCCAGACCTTGGAATGAGTTCTAGATGTGGGCTTTCAAAATCTTGTATTAAGGGGGCTTCCAAATGATTTTGGGGACAATGACAACAGAGAACTACAGTTTCAGATCTACAATGGATCCTAAGAATGTGGAACTAAATGAAATGGGTAACAGGGTTGGGCTTTTTTGTTTTTTTCAAATTCAAGTTTCTTAATTCAAGTAATGTTCAAATGAATAAAACAATGAAATTTTGGCATGTCAGAATGAATAAAATGGAATTTTTCTCAATTTTTACTTGGAACAATAAACCTGTTGAGAATTTTCCTAGCTCTTTTGTCAGTTTTTTTTTTTTCATAAATCTAGCCTCTCAAAATAAAATTTTCACTCAATTCCTTAATTAAGGTCGACTCAAATTTACCTAAAACAAAACAAAAAAATATTTCACATCTATCATTCTTCCTAATGTCACAGAAATTACCTCAGGCTGACATCATCTCTCAGGGGCCCTCATCTTGGGTTTAGCAGCCTGAACTCCCTCCAACCACGGTCTCTAGAGTAATCTTACATTCAAACCTGAGTATGTCACACCTTGCTTCTGAAAATCTGCCTGTGGCTCCAGACTACAGGATCAAACCTGAGGCCCTGCCCCTCTCCAGTCCCAGCCGACTCACCAACACTATACTAAGGGCTTCCAGGAGGTCTATGCTTTTCCTTCCTGCTTTTGTCCAATCTGTTCCCCCAGTTGTCAGCTCAGTTCAGCTGTGCAGCTCCCTGGAGACTGTTGGAGGTAGGGCTCCTTTACATGCCGACCTCCTAGTGAAGGGTCCAAAGAAACGGCATCCCTTCAAGGACTACATAAGCAGTCCACTGGGCGATGTGAAAACTTGTTTTGATGGCATCCTTTAAGCCTATTTATAGAACTATTTGCAACATTAAAAACAGGTTGTTTGTAAATGTACATTTCTTACCAGCTCCTGCTCAGGCGTTTTTGGGTTTTTTTGTTTTGCTTTTTTTTCACTGGCAGGGCTGGGCAACCAAACTGGTAGGAAACCTAAGTACTAGTACAAGAACCTATGCAACCACTCAGATCCAGCCGTGCTAAAGAAGGGCTTCATGCTGGGCCTCCGGCTGCTTCTATTCAACTGGTGGTAGTTGCATGATCATCTTAGGGGTGTCCCCCAGTCAACTGTGGGACATGCAAATAGCTCCAAACCCAAACCAAATACTCCCCCTGCAGCGTCACATATTGAAAAATCCAATGCTTTCCCTCGGTTATCATTCAATTATTAACTCCCAACAGAACCGGGCCCACCCTAGACTAAGCTGTTTTGGAGCGACAGGAAATGTCCTAGGTAACTCCAAATTAAGATTCGGTCCATCTTCTGCTATTCTGGGAACACCCTTCATCCCCAGGGGCCAATGCGCGCCGGGCTAGTCACGCTGCACGTAGCAAGGGGCCGGGTTCTGGAGGGGCCACCTGGTCCTCCATCCCTTCCCCGCCGGTGGCCAGAGGAGCCCGCGGAAGCGCGGGGGTCGGCGCGCCGTGGCACTGGGCCGCGGCCAGGGATGAGCTCAGCTTCGCTGGGTGTTGCCCGCAGGTTGCATCAGACGCGGCGTGGGGCCCCCGCCCGCGCCTCGGGCGGCCCAGGGGCCTTCCGAGCCGGCCGACCGACTAGGGCCGGACCGCGTCTCCTCGGGCCGGGCCGGCGCCCACGCGAGCGGCGGGCTGAGCCGCGGCCTCCTCCCCCGCTCGGTCGAAGCGAGCGCCCACGGCCTCCTTACCTGAGCCTCCGGCCCGCCCGCCCCCAGGCGGCCTCCACTCCGAGCGGCCCCGCGCGGCGCGGCCCGACCCGACCCAGGCCTCGCAGCCCGCGAGTCAGCGAGGAGGAGCGACGGTTACGAAACCGGCAGCGTCCGCCCGTTCCGCCACCGCGGCCACCGGCTTCCCCCTCCTCTCCGGACCGCGCGTTGCCGCCGCCGCCGCCGCGACCAATCGGAGCGCTAGTCTGGGAACGACGTGCCTGCCCCTCGCGACGGGCAGCTGCACCAGCCAATCACAGGCCATCTGGCGGCGAGAGGCGGGCCGCGGCGGAGGAGGTCGCGGTGGCACGGGGCCGGCGGGCGTGGCGGGCGTGGCGGGCACCGGCGGCTTGTAGGCGCGGGCTCGGTGTTCCCAGTGGCTGGCTGCTTTCGCTCGGTGGCAGAGGCCCTGAGCAGTGGGTGACCCGTGACAAGAAAAGTTCTGTTCAAGTTGGAAACTTGAGCAAAGGTCACCTTGTGAGGGTCACACCTGCCTCTGGGAAAGGAAGTGTCCTGGGGATTTTTGTTTTGGCGTTTGTAAACTTTTATTTTGACAAAAGCAATTACTTCCCACTCTGATCACATACTTGAAAACCGTGGACTGTGGCTCCCTGGGAAATGTTTATTTCCAAAGTTGACTCCTTCCATGCAGACAGGTGAGAGACATGACAAGCTCTCTTAAAAGCGAGTAACAGTCCAGTTTGGTTATCCCAAACATTTCACAGGAGGATCTGAAAGCCCATGAGAACCAGGAAGCAGCCCGCTGGGTGCAGGGTAGAGCCAGCCTGATAGGTTTGATTGCTTCCTCTTTAGCAATTCTTATCGTTCAAAAAAAAAAGTCGCTTTGAAAGAGGAAATGTTTCTTCATCACCAAGGCCATGAGACCAGCTCTCAAGGCTGTTTCGAGGAATCCCTAGGAGATGACAAAGTACCTGAAAAAAAAAAAAAATTAAATGACAAGGGCAGCAGCTAAGGGTGAAGGGCCGTAATAACCATATGCATGTTTGGGAATTTATGTCCTCAAAACCAGTATTTATTTATTGGTTTGGCTGTGGATGTTCTGAAACAAAATTTCTTTAAGAATTTGAACACAAAGTTGGACTGTGATTTGTTCCTCACAAAATCGTCGTTCTTACTCGTTTCCTGTTTAAAAACTGTATTAAAAAAAAAACTTGCATATATGTATATTGAGTTAGCTTCTAGTTTGCTAACCATCCTGCCAGCTGTTCCAGCATTCCATATGTGCCTAGGCACGCCTACCACACCCAGCAGTCAATACCCCAGAGACTTAGTTATTTCCTTTTCAACTGATAGCTGGTAATTCTGTTTACAAACATTTGTTTGCTGCCAACTATGTGCTAAGGTGTGGACTAAGGGCTGGAATTCAGCAGTGAGGACAGACACTCAGTCCTTGCCCACATGGAGCTTACACTGAGAACCTGAGAGACATGCATGTCATCCAGTCATTGCACCATGGTTCAAGCACCGCTTTCACAGACGCTGAAGAAAAGCAGTATGGGATACTGAGAGAGATAAGCAGGTGGCCAGAACTGATCTGAGAGGTCAGAGAAGGCCTAAAGATTTGACAAGCTGGCACAGCTGAAGAATATGCACCAGCCTAAGGCAATGTCTAGCCTATAGACCCTGTAGTGGGAGAGATTTAAGGCTGAACTGGCTGGAGCTGGGAGCCCCAGTGGAGAGCTGATGAAACAGAGAGGGCCACATGGGCCTAATAATCTTTTCTTAATATTTATTTTTTTATGTATGAGTTTATTGCCTGCATTTATGTAAGTGTACCCACGTCATACAGTGCCCACAGAGGTCAGAAAAGGGCATTGGATCCCTGGAGTTAGGGATGGTTGTTAGCCGCGATGTGGGTGCTCGAAATCGAACCCAGGTTCTCTGCAAGAGCAGCCAGTGTTCTTAACTGTGGAGCCATCTCTCCAGCCCCTCAATAATGGTTTTTATTGGGGCAGTAGAGGAGTCTAGGAATTTAACCAAGGCCCTTGTACATGTTAGGCAAGCACTCTACGGTTGAGCCAAATCCCATCTCAGAAGTCCTGACTTTGACCCTAAGCAATACAAAGCTTTCATCACAAGGAAATGAAAGCCTGGTGGAAGCTCTGCCCCCAGGTTGAAGAAATCTATGTTGCTTTTTTGCAAGTTGCAGGAACCCACTCCATCCTAGATAAGGAAAAATGCTCTGTGTATATCTATGCCTCCTTAATGTCCAAAACATATTCTATAAACCCACAGAAACTGTAATCAAGTAGTACATTAAAATCCTCTCCAGAGGACTTGAGACACAGGAGGTCCTGTTAATTGAATAATCTAGTTAACTTGACAACTACAGTTAATTACATCAGTTACCTAAGAGGTATGGGCCAAGATCAGACTGTTCCCAGCTTCAACTCTTACTGAGATGTGTGACCTTGGCAAATTGCTTAACTTCTGTGTCATCTGTAAGTGGGGATGGCAACATTGTTGTTGTAAGAATTGAAGGAATGTGTTCAACTCTTAGAACAGTGCCTGTCTGGTATACGGTAGGAGCTATTAATATGAGACACTAGCTATTATTAGCATGCTATAGATACATGAACTATAAGCAAGTTGTATTCATAGAATTATAGTAGACTGAAACACACTTCAGAGTTAAGTCAAGCTATATTTACATTGCTTTGATGATTCAAGCACTCAAATACATTATAATATTGAAGATGTTGATTCAATGTAGCCCATAAGTTTTTAAAATAGTACTTTTAGTTAACCATATCTTCGTTTGTTTCTGTAAAATAAGAGAAAGGGAAATTGAGACTATTTGTTGGGTTGGTTTTTTGAGATATGATCTGACAGGCGCCCAGGCTGGTCTAGAACTTTCAGTGTAGTCCAAACTAGCCTAGAACTCAAGGAAATCTTCCTAGCTCAGTCTTCTGACTGTGAGTGCTGGCATTACAGGCACCACCACACCTGGCTTGTACTCTCTTACTTGATCAAAATCCAGGTCAATAGAAATTTCATATACAAACAATGTGTATTTGGAAAATTCCTTAAAAATTAGTGCAGTGAGCCAGGTGTGGTGGCACATGCCTGTAGTCCCAGCACTTGGGAGGCAGAGGCAGACAGATCTCTGTGAGTTCAAGGCCAGCCTGGTCTACATAGTGAGTTCCAGGACAGCTGGGGCTACAGGGAGACCCTGCTTCAAAAAGACAAAAAAAAAAAAAAAAATTAGTACAGTGAGGCTAGAGATGACTCAATGTTTAAAAGCACATACTGCTCTTTCAAAGGACCTGAGTTCAATTTCCAGCATCCATATCAGGCAGCTCACAACTACCAACACTGCACAGGTTCAGTTCCCAGTACCCATCTGATGACTAACAACCATCCTTTACTCCAGTTCCAGGGGGTCCAACACCCTCTTCTGACCTTCTTGGGCATTGCCTGCACATGCTACACTTACACACATGCACACAAAACATACACATAAAATAAAAATAACTTTTTAAAAAAATTGCGAGGCATGGTGCAACGCCTTTAACTGCAGCACTTGGGAGGCAGAGGCAATCGGATCTCTGTGAGTTCAAGGCCAGCCTGGTCTACATATCGAGTTCCAGACCAGCTGGGGCTACAGGGAGACTCTGTCTCAAAAAAGACACACAAAAATTTAAAAATTAATACAACAAATTAACCACCTTGACAGGTGGTCTGGACTATATTGGTAATATTTTGAGAACAGGAGACATATCTGTTGCAGGTTTAAGACTCAGTAGATATTTTATCTGTGGTTTACTAACACTAAGACAGTGATTATCACTCTGCATTGCCAAGGGCTCTTTTGATTAGAGATAAATTTATTGTTTGGGTTTTTGTTGTTTTTGTTGTTGCTGTTTGGTTTTGACAGAATCTTCCTATATAGCCCAGTTTGGGCCTCAAACCTGCAGTCCTCCTGCCTCAGCCCTGAATATACCCAGGATAACTGGAATTATAGGTATGTACCACTATGCCCAGATTGGAAGTAAGTAAGTGAGAACTATCTTTTTTTTTTTTTTTTTTTTTTTTTTTTTTTTTTTTTTTTCAGGGTCTCCCTGTAGCTCGAGCTGTCCTGGAACTCACTATGTAGACCAGGCTGGCCTTGAACTCACAGAGATCCACCTGCCTCTGCA